GCCAACCTGCTTCTCCCATAGCATTCCCCATCTCAGTTAATGGCACTTCCGTCTATCCCGTTGCTCAGACCAGAAACATTAGAACCATCCTTTAACTTCTCACAGAGGATGACAAAAGAAAAACAAAAGAAAAATTTTAAATAGAGCCATCCTTCACTCCCCTCTCATACCCTCATCCAGTCCATCAGCCAATCCTGTTGACTCCACCTTCAGAATATATCGAGTCTGACCACTGCTTGCCGCTCCACCAATAGCATCCCAGTCCAAGCTACCATCATCTCTTGCCTAAATTAGTCTAGTAATCTCCTAACCAGTCTCCATCCTACGTTTCCCTCCATCCTTGAGTCTTTTTCAACACAGCAGCCAAAGTGATCATGTGAAAATATAAATTAGGTCATGCTACTCTTCTATTCATAACACTCCCACCCCCACCAGCAACCTGTCTTTTCACTCAGTAAAAGCCAAAATGCAGGTCGGGCATGGTGGCTCATGCCTATAATCCCAGCACTTTGGGAGGCTGAGGTGGGTGGATCATCTGATGTCAGGAGTTCGAGACCAGCCTGGCCAATGTGGTGAAACACCATCTCTACTAAAAATACAAAAATTAGCCGGGCATGGTGGCACACTCCTGTAACTCCAGGTACTCAGGAGGCTGAGGCAGGAGAACTGCTTGAACCCGGGAGGCAGAGGTTGCAGTGAGCCAAGATTGTGCCATTGCACTCTAGCCTAGGCGACAAGAACAAAACTCCATCTCAAAAAAAAAAAAAAAGCCACAACGTTTACTGTGTGGCCTACCAGCCTTATACAATCTGGCCACCATTTACTTTCTGAAGTCATGTCCCATTACTCTCTATTTTGTTCATTCCATTGCCACCACATTGGCCTCCTCATTGCCTCTCTAACACCCCAGACATGCTCTTGTCTCACGGCCTTTGAAGATATCTTTACAACTCACTTCCTCACTTCCTTCAGATCTCCACTCAAAAGTTATCTTCTTGGTGAGGTCTTCTCTGATTACCCTAATAAACACTTCCGCATCCTCCAGACACTCCCTATATGTTTCCCCTGCTTTTATTTTATCTAGAGCACTCACCTCCTCTTAGTATTTGGCATTATTTGCTTATTTATTTTCTTTCTTTCTCTACTCTTCCCCTGCAATTAGAATTTCAGCTTTATAGGAACAGGGACTTTTGTCTGTTTGGTTCACTAATATATCCTGAGTGTCTGGCATATAGTAAGTATCAATAAATATGCAAATAAATGAATAGTCTTTAGAGGGGATAATGGGAGTACAAAAAAGAATGGGCCAGGTGCGATGGCTCATGCCTGTAATCCCAGCACTTTGGGAGGCCCAGGCAGGTAGATCTCGAGGTCGGGAAACCATCTTGACCAAAATGGTGAAACCCCATCTCTACTAAAAATACAAAAATTAGCTGCACATGGTGGCGGGCACCTGTAATCCTAGCTACTCAGGAGGCTGAGGCAGGAGAATCGCTTGAACTTGGGAAGCAGAGGTTGCAGTGGGCAGAGATCATGCCACTGCACTCCAGCCTGGGTGACAGAGTGAGACTTTATCTCAAAAACAAAAAGAGCAAAGGAGTGCGGTCAGTATGATTGGGGTGAGTGACGCTTTTCATGCTGGAAAAGTTGTCATGAAGGGCCTTACATATTATTCTAAGGAGCTTAGATTTTATCCTATAGGTGGTAAAAAGTCAACAAAGGAGTCAGTGGTCTGAATTGGAATCTTAGAAATGTGTTCTAACTGTAGTATAAAGAATGAGGTCGGGCACAGTGACTCACACCTGTAATCCTGGCACTTTGGGAGGTCAAGGTGGGTGGATCACCTGAGGTCAAGAGTTGGAGACCAGCCCGGCCAACACGGGGAAACCCCATCTCTACTGAAAATACAAAAATTAGGTGGGTGTGGTGGCTTGCACCTATAATCCCAGCTACTCAGGAGGCTGAGGCAGAAGAATCGCTTGAACCCAGGAGGCAGATGTTGCAGTGAGTTGAGATCGTGCCACTGCACTCTAGCCTGAGCGACAATGAAACTCCATCTCAGAAAAAAAAAAAAAAATGGAGAATTGGAGGCTGGATGTGGTGGCTCACACCTGTAATCCTAGCACTTTGGAAGGCTGAGGTGGGAGGATATGTGAGCCCAGGAGTTCGAGACCAGCCTAGGCAACATAGGGAAACCCTGTCTCTATTAAAAAAAAAAAAAAAAACAAACACAAAACACAAAAATTAGCTGGGCATGGTGGCACATGCCTGTAGTCCCAGCTACCTGGGAGGCTGAGGTGGGAGGATCACCTGAGCCCAGGAGGTTGAGGCTGCAGTGAGGCATGATTGCACTCCAGCTTGGGCAACAGAGTGAGACTCCATGTCAAAAAAAAAAACAAACAAAAGGAAAGAAAGAAAAGAATTGAAAATAACAATAGCGGGTCCGGGGGCCAGTAACAGACTGCTGCAGTAATGCACACATGAGATGGTGGCAGCCTGAACTAACGGAATGCCAGAGGGGATAGAGAGGAGGGGCTGGATTTGAGAAATGCTCTATTTAGACGACTGGACTGATAGGACTTGATGACTGCTTGGATAGGGCAGTAAGGGTGAGCAAACGAAGAAATCCCAGGTTTCGGGCTTGGGGTAGCTGGTTGAACAGTACGGCCATTCATCACTGAGATAAGAAGCACAGAAGAAAGAATAAATCTGACATTGTCGTAGAGAAAGGCAACAGTGGGTTCTAGGTGTGTCAAGTTTTGAGTACTTGTGTACTATTCAGGTAGAGCTGCCCAGTAGGCAGTTGGGTGCTTGGTTTTGGAGGTCAATAGGAGGTCAGAGCCAAAGATAAAGATTTGGGAGCCATCTGCCTGTAGGAGGTGTTTAAAGCAAAAGCTATGGTAGAATTTTCTAGAAAGGGTATATAAATTGAGGAGGACAAAAAGAGTTGCTAGTTACCAGTGCCAAATATTGCCCCCTTAAAAATCCAATAATAACCGGGTGCAGTGGCTCACGCCTGTAATGCTAGCACTTTGGGAGGCTGAGGTGGGTGGATCACTAGGTCAGGAGTTTGGGACCATCCTGGTTAATATGGTGAAACCCTGTCTCTATTAAAAATACAAAAATTAGCCGGGCATGGTGGCGCATGCCTGTAGTTCCAGCTACTCGGGGGGGCTGAGCCAGAAGAATCACTTGAACTCAGGACATGGAGGTTGCAGTGAGCCAAGATTGCGCCACTGCACTCTAACCTGGGACACAGAGCAAGACACCATCTCAAAACAGAAAAAGTCCAGTAATGATATAACCAAAAAGAGCCACTGGATTTGGCAACCAGGAGGTTGACAATGGAATACATTTCATTTATTCAAATGTTGATTAAATATCTACTATGTGTTAAGGATACTAAGGATACAGTGAATAAAACAGACCAAAAAAATCCCTCCTTCCATGTAGCTGAAATTCTAGTTGCAAGGAAGGAGCAGATAAATAAAGGAAATAAATAAGTAAATTATATCAAATATTAAAAGGCAGTGAATGCTCTGAAGGTTAGGTAAGCTGCCTAGGGTCACATGGCCAAGTAAGTGCAGAAACCAGGACTAGAAACGAACCTGCTCAACTCCAGAGTTGTGCTCTTCTTACTGTTGTACCACACCTCCTCTCCCACTTCGAAAATCTTAGTTCCATTGCCACAGAATGCCATGTAGTCCCAGCTAAACATTTCAGAAACAAACCAGAGTACGTGCACAGTTTAATCTAAACTCAACGCCATTTCTGAAAGCCAGCTGTGAGGGGACATCCCCAGACAAGTAGTACCAGTTTTATATGTAGATGGTATATTGAAAAGTCATTTCATCTGATCATAAAATTATTTTTCTAAGAGGAAAACTGGGTGCAGTGGCTCACACCTGTAATCTCAGCACTTTGAGAGGCCAAGGTGGGCAGATCACTTGAGGCCAGGAGTTTGAGACCAGCCTGGCCAACATAGTGAAACCCCATCACTACTAAAAATACAAAAATTAGCCAGGTATGGTGGTATGCACCTGTAGTCCCAGCTACTCAGGAGGCTGTGACAGGAGAATCGCTTCAACTCAGGAGGTAGAGGTTGCCGTGAGCCAAGATCACACCACTGCACTCCAGCCTGGGCAACAGAGTGAGACTCTGTCTCTAAAATAATAATAATAAAGGATAAAACATTCCTTTCAGAGATGGAGCATTTGGGTAATAACAGGGTTTGGTCAGGATGGCTCTGAAGGTAGTGATGATGTCCATGGGATAGCCAAAGTGATATAAAGATGAGGACCACTGAAGCCGAGGGCCAGAATCTGGTCATAGGCTGGGTCATCTTTATAGAGCCGAAGTTAACTATGATGATGATGATGATGAGGCTCGGAGAGGGTGAGCTACCAGGTGTCACAGTCTTCAATGAATGTGGAAGAGTGGCCAGATTAGGAGATAATAGCAGGACAAGGAGTATGGTTCAGTGATATCAGCCCCAGCTAAGTGCTTCTGTCGTGAGAGTGAAGGAGGAAGGGTCTGGGAACAGCAACAGAGAGTGAGAAGAATGCCACCTACCCTGTCACATCTGTGATGTGGAGAAATGAACAGCCTCTGCTTGGGAGCTTCACAGAGGAAGTACCAGTAAAGACAAGGAAACAGGAGAATACTGTAAAAAGGCTAAGGGCATGGGAGTATGTTTATCATGTCCAGAAAGCATAGGTTGGGAGGGACTGTAAGTATGAAATTGAGTCTGTCCCAAATGTCTGCTTCCTTCCAGGCAAAATAAACCACAAATATGTGCACAGGGTATCATGATTGTATTGCATGTTAATATCCATTCTAAGCCCATAGAACAAGAAGAACCCCATGGCAGCCATTCTTTGCTATCATCTTGGCCAGGAGCACAGCATCTAGAGTGCAGACTTGAGACCCTGGCTTCTTCCACTAGGACATTTATTTCCTGGTGTTTCAATCATCTCATCCCAGCTTCTGTTTCCTGCCAGGCTCAGAGCCCCTACCTCCCACACAGTGGAGGAGTAGATGTCCATTTCTCAGGAGCAGTGGACTGCTTCCGGCAGATAGTGAAGGCCCAGGGTGTCCTGGGGCTCTGGAATGGATTAACAGCCAATTTACTGAAGGTAAGAAGAGATATCAGTCTCTTCTGTTCCTCTGCCTCTTCCAATTCTACCCTCTTCTTTTGTCATCCCCCATCATTTAGCTTGGAAAACGCCCTCTAGCACTAATGGGTAGCACAAGGCTGATGAATGCACACTGTCTGTCAGCCCTTTAGAGAGGGGAACACGTGTAGTGGTGGAGTATCTTATACCGCATTCCAGAGGAGCTGCACATTTAGTGCAGAAATTCCTAATGTGGAGGTTCATGGGCCCCTAAGGGGAACCTAACCCCTCATCCTAAAATTCTATGCAAAAATGTATGTGTATATGCATATGTGCACCATATTCCCAAAGAATTCCATAACCAAAAAAAAAAAAAGGTTAAGTACTCTGGACTAACCTTGCACGAGCTGGCATGTAAATGATTCCAGTCAAGGCCGGCATATCGTGACAGGCAGTATTAGATCATCTGCATGCATATGACCCAGATCCAGCACCTCCTAGGCAGGGCATCCCCTTCAATCACTGTCATTCCTCTACCAACCCACACTGGGCCAGCTTTCCTTTTGCCATCTTCTCTGATTCCAAAAACAGTTGCCATTTCTATTGCCACTGCCATTATCTCACTTTACCCTAATCCAAGTTGACTGCAGACACATTTCTTTTAAGAATTTAACTTGATTTTCATTTTCTGTTTTAACAGATAGTTCCATATTTTGGAATTATGTTTAGCACCTTTGAGTTCTGCAAGAGAATCTGTCTTTATCAAAATGGTTACATTCTGTCTCCACTGAGCTATAAATTGACCCCAGGAGTTGATCAGAGTTTGCAGCCCCAGGAATTAAGAGAATTAAAGAAGTTCTTCAAAATGAGAAAACTGAAGTCTAAAAAACCAACTCTATAAAATGGAATGGAACTAGAAGTGCACTGACGGCGTGTTGCAATCACAAATAACTGTAGCCTCATAACTGGGCACCTAAGGAGGGAGGAGAAGCTACTGTTGTCTGCTGCTCTGGGATATGAGACAGTCTGGTCACACACCACCTCAAATCTCCAAACTGATGCCCCCATGAACTCCTGCACCATGAGGTTTCCCAACATGAGTGTGTCATGATGGCATTCCACGAGATTTTGTAATCAGAGTCTAGCAGTGATAAAATGTACAATTTATGCTCTGAAGAGAAACATAACACCAAAGAAAGGGCATTGTTATAACATCTCAAAGCAACATGTAATTGACGTGGCTGAGTGGATACCACATTGTGAGCAGAGCCACCAGGTCACCTGTACTTAATGCAAAGCTTGCACAAACCAATGTCAGCCTAGTTTTGTTTAGTTTGACCTGAGACTTCCCAATACAATCTGTTGTTTTGTTTTGTTTTTAGAGACAGGGTCTTGCTCTGTCACCCAGGCTGGAGTACACTGACACAATAATAGCTCACTGCAGCCTCAAACTCCTGGGCTCAAGATATCCTCCTGCTTCAGCCTCCCAAGGGTTGAGACCATAGGTGTGTACCACCACACCTAATTTTTTTTGGGGGGGGGTCTTGCTATGTTGCCCAAGCTGGTCTTGAACTCCTGGGCTCATGCAGTCCTCCTGCCTTGGCCTCCCAAAGCACTGGGATTACAGGTGTGAGCTACTGCACCCTGCCCCAATACAATCTTTCTTGAACTCAAATTTTTGCTGACTTCTGAGTGTACACACCACCCAGTGATGTGTATCACAATAGTGATAGCTTTTAAATGTTCGATATTTTTATTTGGTTTCTGATGAAACCAAATAAAAATATCGAACATTTAAAAGCTATCACCATTGTAGTAGAATCATCCTCCTTTTTTGAAATTTGAAGCATCCCAGGCTTAAAATCTCGTGTTTCAGGAAGACAGTTTATACCATGACTGCTTAATTATGCCCCAAAGACCTTCTTCTGATTGAAGTCATGTACAGTTCAGTGGCCTGAATTCTCTGCCTTTTTTACTTGCTTTGCAAGCCTTCCCTGAAAATAAATTCTTTAGTCAAGTTATTCTCAAAGATGTCCCAGTTGCCTAGAAAGGATCAAATGGAACATTTGACACACATACCCAAAAAAATGTAAGTGACTATAAACACTTTAGCCTAATCATCTGTATCAAACTTTCTAAAAATCAAATTTGAGGATTGTCCACCTTAGGAATTCTAAGTAAAGTTTAAATAACTATACTTTTCAAATAGCACCTATCCATGCATTTTTAAATGCCTTAATATAAGGCCAGGTGCGGTGGCTCACACCTGTAATCCCAGCACTTTGGGAGGCCGAGGCAGGTGGATCATGAGGTCAGGAGTTCAAGACCAGTCTGGCCAAAATGGTGAAACCCTGTCTCTACTAAAAATACAAAAAAATTAGCCAGGCATGGTGGCATGCGCCTGTAATCCCAGCTACTCAGGAGGCTAAGGCAGGAGAATCACTTGAAACCAGAAGGCAGAGGTTGCAGTGAGCTGAGATCACGCCACTGCACTCCAGCCTGGGCAACAAGAGCAAAACTCCATCTCAAAAAATAAAAATGTATTAATATCTAACATTAAATTGTTAATTTATACACACACGTACACTCACACAGAGATTTTCAGTATGTTGCAAGTATTTTTTCCTGTTAAATTTATTTTCCAAAGAAAAAATGATGTGTTGGGCATTTATTGCTAATCTGAGTTATAAAACTATGGTTAAATACATCCTAGCCAAATCTGTAAACTCTCTGAACCTTATCCTATTTAAGTATACCAAAATAATTCACTTTTCCAACTGCTGCAGCATTCTGTTTATGGAGAATGGCAGTTAACACACACACACATGGAAATCTCATCTGTAGCTCAATCTGTTACAGTTTGGAGGGTGGTAGATTCTTTACCCAGAGTGAATAGTTCATGTTTATTACTCTTTATTTTCCTTGAAACAGACAACTTTTCAAACAGTTCTAAAAGCTGCAAAAATATTTTTTATTTTATTTTTTTAACTAACTCTAAAATCCTAACCTCATATTAATTCATGATAATATCTTGTATATTCTTCCACAAGTTTTTTTTTTTCTTTTGAAAAAAATTGTCACCTAGGCTGGAGTGCAATGGCGCAATGTCAGCTCACTGCAACCTCTGCCTCCTGAGTTCAAGCCTCAGGCTCCCAAGTAGCTGGGATTACAGGCACCTGCCACCATGCCTGGGTAATTTTGCATTTTAGTAGAGACAGGGTTTCACCATGTTGGCCAGGCTGGTCTCCAACTCCTAACTCTAGGTGTTCTACCCACCTCCACCTCCCAAAGTGCTGGGATTACAGGTGTGAGCCACTGCACCCTGCCCTTCCACAAGTATTATTAAATAGATAGCCAAGCTCTTGCAGTTGTCATGCACAGAAATGTTTTCTGAGCTACAGTTTTTATTTTTTCTTCATTAAATTAAGAGGGGAAAATAATATGCCTGATTTTTCTAATTTCAGAAGAACTCTAAAACTCTTGTTCTATTTCTAAAATAAACTTCCAACTAATTTCATTTCCTTGGAGGTATGAAGAGAGAGTTCTGCCTTTCTGCTTTATGGCTGACAGTGAGCACCACACGGGACTAAGTACTTGAGAAGGATTATAAAGATGTGTGATGCAATATTGATTCAGAAGGAATTTATGGGCTTAAGGAACAAAACATACATACCTACATATATGTAATGACTGATTACAAATCAAATGCAAAGGCATGATAATGTGGTATCAACTGTTTCTAAGATTGCCAAGGAGCTTATACTTAGTGAATAAAAAACTGAAGGGGTCATAACAGGGGAGAGGGACTAGTGATCAACAGAGATTTGGGGAGGTTGTGAGTTTTATTTTTGTTTTTAGACAGAGACTCATTCTGTCACCCAGGTTGACTAACTGCAACCTCTGCCTCCCGGGTTCAAGCTATTCTCATGCCTCCGCCTCCTGAGTAGCTCGGACTACAGGCATCTGCCACCATGCCTGGCTAATTTTTGTATTTTGTTGGTAGAGATGGGGCCAGGCTGGACTCGAACTTGTGGCCTCAGGTGATCCACCTGTCTCAGCCTCCCAAAGTGCTGGGATTACAGGCATGTCCCACCACACCCAGCCATGAGTCTTGAACTAAATTTTGAAGGAAGTTAAGGGATATGTATTGGTCACGAATAGGAAGGCATTGCAGGTTAATGTCAGGGCATATGCAGTGTCACAGAGATGGAAGCAAGCAAAAGTGGTTTAGAGTAAGAAAAGTGGCTTTGTGTATTTATTCAATAACTGCTAGACACTACAGACACAGTGGCACAAAAGGCAGATAATAAGGTCCTTGCCCTCAAGGAGCTTATTCTAGTGAGAGTGGCAGTCAATAAACAAATAAACCAATCAATAATTTAGGTAATCATGGACTATAATGTTATGAGGGTGCTTATATACAGGTTGCTTTATTGGAGAATTATGTGGAGGTAAGGGGAAGGGGAATATTTTATTTTTGGTTTTTGTTTTGTTTTGTTTGAGACAGGGTCTCACTCTGTCATCCAGGCTGGAGTGCAGTGGTGTGATTTCAGCTCACTGCAACCTCTGCCTCCCTGGCTGAAGCCAGAGGGGAATATTTTAAATCAGGATGCCAGAGAAGGCCACTCTGACAAGTGACATTTGAGATGAGACCTGAAGGATGAGAATGAGCCAACCATGCAAAGAACTAGGGAAGGCTGGTCAAAGTGCAGTGGGGTTTACAAGTAATTGATCACAACCAGCTACATATTTCTTTGTTCCTTCCTACTCACACTGCTTCACTTGACTTAAAAAGTGAAAAAATGGGAGCCGGGTATGGTAATCCCAGTACTTTGGGAGGCCAAGGCAGGTGGATTACTTGAGGTCAGAAATTTGAGACCAGCCTGGCCAACATGTCAAAACCCCATCTCTACTAAAAACAGAAAAATTAGCCCCACGTGGTAGTGCACACCTGTAATCTCAGCTACTTGGGAGGCTGAGGCAGGAGAATCGCTTGAACCTGGGAAGTAGAGGTTGCAGTGAGCCAAGATCGTGCCACTGCACTACAGCCTGGGTAACAGAGTGAGATTCCATCTCAAAAACCATCATTCTCAGCAAACTGACACAAAAACAGAAAACCAAACACCACATGTTCTCACTCATAAGTGCGTGTTGAACGATGAGAATGCATGGACACAAGGAGGGGAACATCACACACCGGGCCCTGTCAGGGGGTGGGGAGCTAGGGGAGGGATAGCATTAGGAGAGAAATACCTAATGTAGATTGCAGTGGGATGGATGCAGCAAACCACCATAGCATGTGTATACCTATGTAACACACCTGCATGTTCTCCACATGTACACTAGAACTTAAAGTATAATAATAATTTTGAAAAATAAAGAATGAGGGAGAAGAGCATTCCTGGCAGAGAGAAAAACAAGTGCAAAAGTGTGGCAGTGGGAAAGACCTGGTGAACAGAAAGGAGGCGAGGGTAGCCAGAGTGTGGTGAGAGTGGGATGAGATGAGACTGGAGAGAGCGAGCCAGATCTTATGTGGCCATACGGGCCAGAACAAGAAGTTAGATTTTATTCTAAATGCAGTGGGGAGGCATCGAAGATTTTAAAGCAGAAAAGCAATATAATCTGACTTTGATTTTTTTTTTTTTTTTTTTTTGAGACGGAGTTTTGCTCTTGTTACCCAGGCTAGAGTGCAATGGCGTGATCTCAGCTCACCGCAACCTCTGCCTCCTGGGTTCAAGCAATTCTCTTGCCTCAGCCTCCCGAGTAGCTGGGACTACAGGCGCGCACCACTATGCCCAGCTAATTTTTGTATTTTTAGTAGAGACAGGGTTTCATCTTGTTGACCAGGATGGTCTCGAACTCTTGACCTCGTGACCCACCCGCCTTGGCCTCCCAAAGTGCTGGGATTACAGGCGTGTGCCACCACGCCCGGCCTGACTTTGATTTTTAAAAGATTACTCAGTTGCTGTGTGGAGAACGGATAGGAGGGAAGCAAGGCTGTGAGAAGACCAGTTAAGAAGCGATTTCGGAAGTCCAAGCAAGAAAGGATGGCTTGGACTAGAATAGTGGCAATAAAGATGGGGAGGAATGAATGAGTTCAAGATGTATTCTGGAGGTGGACTCAGCATCATTTGCCAAGCAATTGAATGTAGGGAGTTAAAGAAAGGAGTCAAGGGTGGCACCCAGGCTTTTGGTTTTTGTTTTTCTGAGACAGGATATCTGTTGCTCCCGGCTGGAGTGCAGTGGAGCTATTTCGGCTCACTGCTGAAATAGAACTCCATCTCCCGGGTTCAAGCAATCCTTCCACCTCAGCCTCCTGAGTAGCTGGGATTACAGGCACAAGCCACCATGCCTGGCTAATTTTTGTAGACATGGGCTTCACCATGTTGCCCAGACTGCTCTCAAACTCTTGAGCACAGGTTAGCAAGGCTTGCCTTAGCATCCCAAAGTGCTGGGATTACATGTGGCTGGTTTTTGGCTTTTGACTTGAGAACAGGTAGATCATCTGGCCATTTGCCGATGTGGGGAAGACCGAGGAGGGCCAGAATTTTGGTGGGGAGGAATTAAAAGTTCTGTTTTGGAAATGTTAAATTCAAAATGCCCATGAGACATGCAAGTAGAGAAGTCATAGTGGGCTGGAGCACACGCTGTCTATGTAACCGTCCAAACCAGTCGCGGTAAGCAGAATAATGGCCCCTACCAAAGGTGTCCACACCTTAACCCCCAGAACCTGTGAATATGTTACCTTTCCTGACAAAAGAGACTTTGCAGATGTGATTACTGTTACAGACATTGAGATGGAGGGATTCTCCTGGATTTGTTGGGTGGGCCCAATCTAATCACAATCCTTAAATCCCAGCACTTTGGGATGCCGAAATGGGCGGATCATTTGAGGTCAGGAGTTCGAGACCAGCCTGGCCAACATGGTGAAACCCCATCTCCACTAAAAATACAAAAATTAGCCGGGTGTGGTGGCAAACACCCATAATCCCAACTACTCGGGAGGCTGAGGCACGAGAATCACTTGAACCTGCAGAGGTTGCAGTGAGCCAAGATCATGTCACTACAATCCAGCCTGGGCGACAGAGCGAGACTCTGTCTCAAAAAAAAAAATCACAAGTGGAAGAGGAAGGCAGAAGAATGGGTCAAGAAGATGCAAGGATGGAATAAGAGGCAGGAGAAATGAGGCCTGAGGAGAAGTGGATTCACCATTGCTGGCTTTGAAGACAAAGATTTCCAGGAGCCAATGACCTCTAAAAGCTGAGCATGACCCTCAGCTGACAGCCAGCAAGGAAACAAAGGACCTCAGCCCTACAGTCACAATCAACTGGACTCAGACAAGAACCTGAATGAGCAAGCTAACAAATTCGCCTCTGGAACCTCCAGAAAGGCACTCGGGCCTGTGGACCCTTCAATTTTGGCCCAGTGAAACCTATGTCAGACTTGTGACCTACAGAACTGCAAGCTAATACATTTGTGTTGTTTAAACCAATGCATTTGTGGTAATGTTATAGCAGCCATAGGAAACTAGCATATCAGAACATTACTGATAATTATTTAAGGATAATAGGGACAAGTCTAGAGTTTGGGCAAAAGTGATGACTGGAGAGATAGGAATTTGAGTGTCATCAGCAGACAGATGGTATTTAAAGCCAAGGGACTGAGGAGTGGATGGGAAGAAACCTCTGGGGGAAGGGGAAACAACAAAAACTGACACTGAAGATCGTGGCTAAAGAAAGGCCTCAAGATGGCTGGGCGTGGTGGTCACACCTGTAATCCCAGCACTTCGGGAGGCCAAGGTGGGCAATCACTTGAGGTCAGGAGTTCGAGACCAGCCTGACCAACATGGTGAAACCCCGTCGCTACTAAAAATACAAAAATTACCTGGGTATGATGGTGCACTCATGTAGTCCCAGCTACTTGGGAGGCTGAGGCAGGAGAATCGCTTCAACCTGGGAAACGGAGGTTGCTGTGAGCCAAGATCATACCACTGCATTCCAGCCTGGGCAACAGAGCAAGACTGTCTCAAAAAAAAAAAAATGGGACTTGAATCAGGCATGCTGACTTGAAGCCCTAGTACATTCTATTGTGATGCAGGTGCCTCTAATCTAATCACAAAGACAATGAGGAGGGAAAAAACAAATATAACAACAATAGAAGACTGGAGAAGGGATAGACACAGGGGGAAAGTCGTGTACCAGCAGAAAGCAAAAATAAATTCTTCAGTCATAAGCAGCTCTCCCTTTTGTTGTCATTGCTAGCCAAAAATAAAAGTAATATCCAAACTAATTGATATAATATTCAGGTCCATTTGACAGCTACTTAGGCAATGCCTAAAATGTTCCAATGGGGCCAGGCACAGTGGCTGACACCTGTAATGTCAGCACTTTGGGAGGCCAAGGTGGGAGAATTGCTTCAGCCCAAAGAGTTCAAGACAAGCTTGGGCAACATAGGAAGACCCTGTCTCTACAAAAAAAAAACCTCAAAAATTAGCCAGGGGTGGAGGCAGGTGCATGTGGTCCCAGCTAATCAGGAGGCTGAGGTAGGAGGGTCACTTGAGCCCGGGAGGTTAAGGTTGCAGTGACAGTGAGCCATGATCACACCACTGCACTCCAGCCTGGGTGACAGAGTGAGACCCTATCTCAAAAATAAATATACATAAATAAATTAATTAATAAAATTTTACAATAGGAAGATGGAAACACATTACACTCTATGTACTTTAGTACATACAGCTAGGGTAGTCATCAGAAAATAAATATCACATATTAGGTCGTGAAATAAATATTTTTGCTCACATTTCTAAAAGGAAACTTGAAATAAAATTTTGTGCACTCATTATGTTTACTTTGGAATTAGAAGAAGCTATACATCTTTATCAAAGATGAATCTCTGCTCCATTTTCAATGGACTCACCTGGGGATCCCAACTGCTATACCAAGCTGCCTGATTTTATATATATCAAATTACATTTAATTCTATATATATAATATGTAATTTTTCCCATGAAGTTATTTAGTCTTACTCAGACTAAAGTTGGAGATCAACAAGCAAAATGTACCTGTGCAGGGGATGTTTTGTGTAAATTTAAGGGGTATAAGTGCAATTTTGTTATATGAATATATTGCTTAGTGGGGAGGTCTTGTCTTCATATAACCATCACCTGAATAATGTACATTGTACCCTGCACAGGTTTAGAAGATAATCACAGCTTGTAAAATTTATTAAAATATATCAAATATTTCTAAGTTAAATTTTTCTGAGTTAAATTATTTATATACAATTGGGCCAGGTGCAGTGGCTCCTTCCTATAATCCCAGCACTTTGGGAGGCTGAGGCAGGCTGATCACTTGAGGTCAGGAGTTCGAGACTAGCCCGGCCAAGATGGTGAAACCCCATCTCTACATAAAATATAAAAATTAGGCCTGGTGGCAGGCACCTGTAATCCCAGCTACTCGGGAGACTGAGGCAGGAGAAGCACTTGAACCTGGGAGGAAGAGGTTGCAGTGAACCAAGATTGCGCCACTGCACTCCAGCTTGGATGACAGAGCAAGACACTGTCTCAAAAAAAAACTTATTTACATACAATTGCATTTAAATGGTAACAAATCACCCCCATTTTCCTTCCTAACACACGTATATAAAAATAAAAACATTTGATCGAAAAAAGAAAGCAAGAAAGGAAGGCCTCAAGATGTGGAGGAACTGGAACCCTTGTACCCTGTGGAGAATGTAAAATGGTACAATCACTCTGGAAAAAACTTGGCAGCTCCTCAAATGATTCAACATAGTTACCATGTGACCCAGCAATTCCACTCCTAGGCAACTATCACAGAAATAAAAACATATGTCCACACAAAAACTTGCATGGGAAAGTTTATAGCAGTGTCATTCATAATAGGCAAAAAGTGGAAATGAGCCAATGTCCATCAAATGATGAATAACAAAATGTGGGCAGGGCACGGTGGCTCATGCCTATAATCCCAGCACTTTGGGAGGCCGAGGTGCACAAATCACCTGAGGTCCAGAATTTCAAGACCAGCCTGACCGACATGGTGAAACCCTATCTCTACTAAAAATACAAAAATTAGCTAGGCGTGGTGTCGCATGCCTGTAATCTCAGCTACTTGGGAGGCTGAGGCTGAGGCAGGAGCATCGCTTGAACCCAGGAGGCGGAGGTTGCAGTGAGCCAAGATCATGCCATTGCACTCCAGCCTGGGCAACAAGAGGGAAACTCCATCTCAAAAAAAAAATGGCATATCTGTACAATGGAATACTACTTAGCAACAGAAAGTGATTAACTATTGATACATACAACAACATGAATGAATCTCAAAGAGTAACATGCCAAGTGAGAGAAGCTGGACCCCAGAAGGAAGAGTACATAATATATGATCTCATTTATACAAAATTATAAGAAATGCAAACTAATCTATAATGACAGAAAGCAGATCAAAGTTTGCCTGGGGATGGAGAGATTACAAAGGGGCACAAGAAAACTTTGGGTGGTAATGGATATGTTAATGATTTTAATAGTGGTGATGGCTTTACATGTGTATACATGTGAAAAACTTAGCAAACTGTGCACTGTAAATATATACAGTTTGGCCAGGTGCATTGTCTCACACCTATAATCCCAGCACTTTGGAAGGCTGAGGCGGGCGGATCACCTGAGTTCAGGAGTTCAAGACTAGCCTAGCCAACATGGTGAAACTCCATCTCTATAAAAAATAAATAAATAAAATAAAAAATATAGATGTACAGTTTTATTGTCTGACAATCACACTTCAATAAGACTGTTGTTTTGTTTTAAGCAGTTACCCATGGGCTGGAATTCTCCACCAACTGTTTTATTTTGTTCTGTTTTGTTTTTTTGAAACAGTCTCACTCTGTCATCCAGGCTGGAGTATAGCGGTGTGATCATGGTTCAATGCAACCTCCACCCCCCGGCTCAGGTGACCCTCCTGCCTCAGCCTCCTAGCTGGGACTATAAGCATGTGCCACCACGCGCAGCTAACTTTTAATTTTTTTGTAGAGATGGGGATTCACCATGTTGCCCTGGCTGGTCTCAAACTCCTGGACACAAGCGATCCTTCTGCTTTAGCCTCCCAAAGTTCTGGGATTACAGGGATTAGCCACCCCACCTGGCCATATTTTTCTTAATCTTAATAAAATCTGACACATATTAAATGCTGTTCTATGCATACATTATCTCATTAACATGTGCCTACAGTCATCTGAGGTATAGGTACTATATAGGTACTACGATCATTCCCATTTTACACCTGAAGAAATTGCAGTTTGGAGAGGTAAAGCAATTTATCCAAGACCTGACAGCTAACAAGTGGCAGAGCCTGAATTTAAACTCAAGCAACCTGGCTGTAGGGTCCACCCTCTTAACCACTGGGCTAAATTACCTTTCTCTTCCTATTTGCCCCAAATTCCCAGACCCAGACCCAGATGCTCAAATCCACTTATCTTATAGATATAAAAGGATACGGCCATAGAATCTTAGAAACGGAAAGAGTGTAGAACTCTCTTCCAGACCAACACAGCAATTTCCCCCACAGCATCCCTAACAAGTGGTTATGATGCCTCACTTTTAGCCTTTCCAGTAGCAAAAAGTTCACCCCCTCATACAGCAACCCATTCTACCTTTAAGTAGCTCATATTTTAGAAAGTAATGTCTTGTTGAGCTGAAGTCTACCTTCATGAAACCTCTGCCAGCAGGCGTTAATTCCTTATTGAATGTTTTAATTCTCTTCTACCAGACAGTCCTTTAATTATGAAGACAGTTATATGATGTCCCTCTTTCACCCAAAGCTCTTTCCCAGTTAAATATCTCTCATTCATTCAGCCATTTCTCATAATACATGATTTATAGCCACTTCACTTTCCTGATTGCCTTGTTTGAATATATTCCAGTTTGTTAATGTCCTCTTAAATGTAGCATCCAGAATTAAACGTAAAACTCTACGGGCTGGCCAACAGAGACCCAAGTGGAACTGAAAGTCCCTCTGATCTGGTCACCACCATTTTCTTAGTGCAACTCAAGAATCATTAGTATTTTTTAGCATTACCAACCCACGGTGAACTAGGACATGTAGTTCTAGTTCTCTTTTTCACACATGCTACCATTAAGCTCTATCTCATCCTTAAATGTCTTGCACTAAATAGGGCATTAGAACCCTTTATTGCAGTGCTTCCCATGAGCCTGGGTTTATTCTGGACTTTAGCCCTTATGAGTCAATTCTCAGAGGTATGTGATATTCTTTGGGCTTTGTCATTTGGAGGCATAGTCCTCTTTCTGTCATCTATACATGTACTTTTAAAATGTGAGCTGGGGCCAGGTGCGGTGGCTCACGCCTGTAATCCCAGCACTTTGGGAGGCCGAGACAAGTGGATCACGAGGTCAAGAGATCGAGACCATCCTGGTCACATGGTGAAACCCCGTCTCTACTAAAATACAAAAAAATTAGCTGGGCATGGTGGCGCGTGCCTGTAATCCCAGCTACTCAGGAGGCTGAGGCAGGAGAATTGCCTGAACCCAGGAGACGAGCTAGTGGTGAGCCGAGATCACGCTATTGCACTCCAGCCTGGGTAACAAGAGCGAAACTCCGTCTTAAAAAAAAAAAGATGTGAGCTCATCAGAGAATAATCTATAAGGACACTGTAGTTTATTAGAAATATCTCCCTTTTTATCATTGGGACTTTTCCAAGTTCTACAGTTCTGAATTTTCAACTGGATCCTTCCTCTCCCTCTTGAGCTATCTTTCTCTTTTGGTGTTAGGCCAGATCATAATCTTTTTCTGATCCTTTTGAAGTCTACCTTACATACACACATACATACACCGCTCCCCCCCCCCACATACACACAGGTTAATTAACCTATGTGACCATGCCCAACATTTTTTTTTAAGTTTTTTTGCTTAACAGATATCCAGATGACAGGATCACTTTCCCCTAGATTCTTGTTACTTTCACTTTGCTAACCAGATCTTCCTTATTTATTATCAGGATTAAGCCCAGCTTAGCAATTTACCTCATTGCTTCTTCATTCTTTTGAGAACTATAATTACACTGTATTAGCAAGAGAGCCAAGAATCTATCAGATGTTTTCTTAACTTTAAGATAGTCTTAAAAATAAGCAAAAGAATGTGTCAGCTATGTTGCTATCAGAATAAAGGAACTTCCAGGTGTTCAGAATTGGATTAGAATTGGAAAGGGGGTGT